GTTATATAATACATGAAATACAAATACTTTTTAAAGTAAAGTCCTTTATTTTTAACGATTAAGCTGTGCAATGGCCCTCTTTTGTTTTAGTCTGTGCACTTGGAGTCTTTTAGTCTGTCATACTCCCAAGTAGCAAAGACTCATGGAACGTTTTATAAATTGATAAAATATGAGTTTTTGTGGCCTTATGAAGTGTGAAAATCTACATGCGGGGTTAAATCTGATCTAAATATTTGTTGTCATTTCATGTTTAATCCTAATAAATCAAAGATATGTCAGCACCATGAATGAAAACTACCTTCACAACAGCCCTTTAATATAGTCATTTGACCAATGGAAACACTGTATTTCTACATAGGATAACAGCTTACAACCTTGTAACTTTGGCAACTGTTGGTGGGCCAAATCAAATGGCTTGGCGGGCCAAATTTGGCCCGCGGGCCCCACTTTGGGCTTCTCTGGTCTAGAAACAGTTATTGCAGCAAAACTTTATTGGATRTTTTGTGAGGCATTAACATCATAAATGGCTAGAACCAAAGGAAAATGACGACCTTCATAGAAACAAAATGTTGTCAGCTTGTCGTCCTTTTCAGGGGTTCTGTCACTCAGCCAATGTGCTCAACAGTTCATCAGATGCAGCAGGATCATGGGAATGGAATGCTGTGTCATCTTAGCAAGTGAATCAGGGGTCATGGGGGGAACCGATTGTTTAAGTGAAATGTTGAGGCGAAACATGACTGACTCACTCATTTTATTTGGTTAGAAAGCACAAAGGGAAATTTCCATGAATTTCTTGTCAAATCTATTGAAGTTGATATCACCATGTAAGGGGGGGAACAAAAAAAAAAAGAAAAAAACATATATACTGTATTCATAACTGCTTACTAGAAACATGGCAACACTTTGATTTCCTGTTTTGACATTATAGGATTTAGGCTTCAATAGTTTAATTTATTTCTCTAGTAGCTGGTAAGCTCATTATTAGGACTGAGTGGTTTTATTTGTTAATGTTTATATGGTGGGGTTATTGAAGGACCAAGCTGATTTTGCTCCGTACATCAGCTTCAAAGAGAACGCTCTGGGATCAGAATGTGAATGGCTTCCCGGACAAATCCATTATTCCACTACACCAACACAAAACTCAACCCGGCTCATKGATCTTTGTTCCCAAGGTCTTGTTTTATTTTTTTCTGTAAATCCTTAGGATAGCCTCTCTTTGTCCTGTTTAGAAACTACCATAAAACACAGCTGCAAAATAAACAGATTGTTGTTTTTCTTGTAAAATAATTAGTTTATACATTAGTTAATTTTGCAATTATAGAAAACAAAACTGTAAATGTTTAGTGTAACTACAGAATTAGCCTTTTTCACTGATAAGATGCATTTGCATGCAAGTCATTGTAAAATACTGTGATGGTTCAATTCAATAAACTTTTTTTAAATGACACTTTTCAAACCTAGCAAGTAGGAGAATGATGTCATTGTAATTCGCTTAAAAACACCAACATAATACACATAATTCTTTTGCTTTTTTTTTCTTGTGAAGAAATAAAATGGCTCAAACGCGGACGTTTTCAGTTAGTTTGGTTTGGAGCTGCTGTGTAGTCTGACCTCCATTGGATCTTTTCAAAAGCAGTTTCACAGTTGTGTTCACAAGAAAAATAATGATGTGTTTTTGTAATAATTAGTCATTCATGCAGCAAAAAAATGTTCTCAAGTTATAACATGTTAGARAGAATTCATGGCTTTTCTGTTTTTATATTTATGTAAAAATACAGTTTTCTGTAAAAAGCTTCCAATCATGCTTTATTTCTTTTTACTTCCAAAGAAGGCAAACTGTTAAAGTTTTTCTTTGGACCTTAACTGCTTTTCTTCCMTTTTTTTTAATACTACCTGACCATAACCTGCATATTGTGATCCAACAATAACTTCCTAACATGACTGATATTAGTTGTGTTTTTCTTATAAAGTGAAACTCAGGAAACCGTTTGAAATGAACTGCTGACGTATTCGCAACAGGAAAACACGTAATGTCGTTTAATTCTACTGAAGTGAAACCAGGTTTGGTAAAATGCTTGATGTTTCTGTATGAATCTAATTTTTTGCCTTTTTTTCTTGCTCAGTTTATCTCAAATAATATAACTGAACATTTTTTGTGACAATTTCTTGAATAATTTTGACTAGCAGCATAAATAATCCCATAACATGTATATTGTAACTTGCTGTTTTTGACACAGATCAAACATTAAATTAGCCACACGTTTCTTCCTCAGATCAACAAAATCCTAATGAAATCCTTTAACCCCCCTAACCCTAACCTAACCCTAACAAATCTAACACAGCTCATCAGCAGACTTTGTCATCTGATGTAAAGACACATAAAGCTCACAGTTCACATGTTGTTTAATACAGATGGTGAAAGTATATTTTTATGTTTACAGTAGTTAAAAATAGTGTCACAGCTGCCGACCGTTTCCTTCTTTGTTTGGCAACTGTTTTGGAAAATTGTTTTACGTATTTGAGTTGATGTATTTTTTTATTCTAAAATTTTATTTAAAAAATACACAGAGGTATAAGAAAATAGTTACTTACTTACTTTAAAAGTTATTTTCTTGCATTGTGTGGCCAACTCTTTTTTAAATTGCTTTGTGTTTCTAATAAACAAAAGTGCAATAAAGACACGAAGAAACTCAAACTGCAAAGGAAATTAGCCAAGCAAAAGTCACACACTTTGCATCCTGTTTGTGCAAAAAAAAAGTGTCTGGGAAGATCCAGTCACCCAGACGGGGGGCGGCAATGCCCTCCACCATTCTTCCTCCTTGAATTTCTCGTAAGAATGGGAGAGTCATTTTTTTAAATTGTTTTCAGGGAACAAACACTGGATACTAATATGTCACATTGTCCTTTCTGAGCTGCTCATGTCAAGTCATTGCATGAAATTTTGCGTGTGTGTGTGTGTGTGTGTGTGTGTGTGTGTGTGTGTGTGTGTGTGTGTGTGTGTGTGT